TTTCAACTGTTCGTAAGAGAGACAAGTAGTGCTGTGTTTTCTCCCTGAAAATAAGCAGAGATTCTGATGCCCAGGGAACACCAGAGTGGGCTCAAAGGTCACTTTCTGTGGTCAAGCTCCACAGAAATTCAACCACTCGCTCCCCTGTGTTTTGGGTCTCCCAGGAGGCCCTTAAGAGTGTGTGCACTGGGCAGTCCCTATGGGAGGGACCGAGAATAGGCAGGGTGGAGAACACAGCCAGGGCCATGCAAATGTGCAGCGAGGCGTTCTGTCCTGTTACAGTGTGTCTCCCTGCCACCCTTGGTTTTTCCCACCCTCTCAACCTTTCTGCTCCAATAATCCCTCCTCCCTCCGCAGAGCAGAGGGGTGACTGGACTGACGGGTCTGCCATCTGCTGCCTTCCCTCATGCTCCAGGTACCCTGTGCAGGAGTAATCTAAACGACTTGGGTAACCGAGATAAGATCCTTGCTGCCATTAAACATTGACAGGCCCCAGTGTGGTGAGTGCTCAGTTGCAGAGAAACTCCTGGACTAGTCCATGGGGAGGCAGGGAGACCACGGCAGCTGGGCCATTAAAAATGAATGGAAACCAACCCTTCTAAGGGGCTGTGCCTCTTAAAGTGGCAGTTCTCCTGTTGGCTGGGGAAGATGCCAGGAGGATTCAGAAAAGGCCAGCAGGCCCAGGCCCTGCCCAGTATTCAAAGTCTCAGCTATTTGTGCCCTTCACACTCTGTTAGTTGGGTGGAAAGAGAGTGGGTTCTAGAATCAGGCAGGTTTGAATTTGAGTCTCAGCTTGACCCTATAGTATGGGTTTAGGCACCCTGAACCTTAGTTTGTTCATCTGTAAAATGGGCTTAATACTTACTCAAAAAGTTATAAGAATGAAGTGAAATAATACATGTAAGTTGTCTAGTATGGTGTTTGGTCTATTAGAAATAATTACTTAAGGCTAGGCACGGTGGCTCATGCCTGTAATCCCAAGACTCTGGGAGGCGAGGCTTGAGCTCAGGAGTTTGCAACCAGCTTGGGCAACACGGTGAAACCCCACCTCTACAAAAAATACAAAAATTAGCCAAGTGTAGTGGTGCGTGCATGTAGTTTCAGCTACTCGGGAGGCTGAGGTGAGAGGATCACTTGAGCCTGGGAGATGGAGGCTGCAGTGAGCTGAGATCACGCCACTGCACTCCAGCCTGGGCGATATAGCCAGACGTTGTATCAAAAATAAATGAATAAATTAATAATAATAATAATAACTTACAAGTTAGTCCCCCCAGCCAGTTGCAATGGCTTACACCTATAGTCTCAGCTATTCAGGAGGCTGAGATGAGAGGATCCCTTGAGCCCAAAGTTCGAGGCTACAGTGCATTATTATTGCATCTGTGAATAGTCATTCACTCCAGCTTGGGCAACATAGTGAAACCCCATCTTAAAACAAAACAAACAAAAAATGTTAGTCCCCTTCTCCCTTGCCCCTACTTCTCCTGGAAAGGGTGAGTTTCTTCTCAGACCCAAGTCTCCTCGGGAAGACCCTTTCTGGCCTGGTGGGATCTTTTCCCTGTTCTTCTCCTTCCCACAGCTTCCAGAGACCCTGGTCTCATTGTCTGTTCCCTTGCCTGCCTTCCTCTGCTAGACTGGAAGCACCCTGAAAACAGATCTCTTAGCACCATTGATTTTCCAGTACCGGGTCAATGTCGGGTGTATACCAGCTGCTTGGGGAACGTTGAATTGAACTAAACTGATAAAAGCCTTTAAAAAGATATATATGAGACCAATAAGTGGAAGGCAAATGACACAAGATGGAAGGAATGAGGGTAATTTGGCACAGAGAAGGTCATCCAAGCTGTCCAAACTCATAGCTATCTTAGGTATGGTTAGTCCGATATCCTCACATTATAATGAAGGGGTCTGAGATCCAGAGAGGCGGTGGCTGAGCGAGAGAGTTCACCAGGCTCCTGACTTCTGGCATCATGCCGGAGAGCTGGGGCTGTGACTGACAGGCTCTGTCCCTCTCCCCTGTAAGCAGGGCAGGATGATCCTCCCAGGCCAGGTGCATGGTGGCTTACTCCCAGCTCCCCAGAGTCAGTGCAGGGTGAGCCTAAACCCAGAAAGCTCTTGTGACTTTGAGGCCAGCACCACTGTCCTCGGGGCACCTGGAATTTCTTGTTAGCAGGCTGGATGTGCGCTTGACTTTGCAAATTTTGGCTCTAGCAATAGTATCACATAGTTCCTTGACTCTGGGAGGTCAAGCATTAAGTGGGAGTGTTTTTGAAGAAGGAAGAGGATGAGCCACGTCTGACATGGCCAGCCCTTTCCCTGCAGTGCCTGCTCCAAATAACAAACTGATTCAACCTGTCATTAAGTCATCCTGTTATTATGGACTCTGAACTGGTCCTCCATGGAACCACTTTGCAGCTTCCTCAGTGGAATGGCCTGCAGCGAAGATGGATGGGATCCTTCTCAGTAGGACAGGAGGTGGGACAGCCATCCCAGGGTCCCAGTCAGTTTCTCTGATAAGATCTTTATAGCCTATTCTGTGGGATCATCATGAAGATTAAATAACACAATAAATGTGAAAGTTCTGGGATATAATATAGTTATAATAAATATATGGCAGGACAGGCACTGAATGAATCAAGTCAGGCACACTTTGCCCAGGTGGATTTCTTAGTTTGAAAAGGTTCTCAGACCTTCCACTTCCTAATACTCCCAAATGGCTCTCATCACCCCATTGCTGTTGATGAATGGCTCCTGTGGCTTTCATAGTCCACAAGAAGGAACTGAGCATTCTCCTCTCACTGAACCTGGAGTTTAGAGGCCAGGAGCAACATAATATATTATATATAATGTCATATATATTATATATTGATCATGCTTATTACCCTAGCACTTTGGGAGGCTGAGGTGAGTGGATGGCTGAGCCCAGGAGTTTGAGACTAGCATGGGCAACATGGTGAGACCCCTTCTCTTAAAAAGAAAAGAAAAGAAAAGAAAAGAAAGAAACAAAGGTGTGAGAATCAGGGAGAGAATATCTTTTTGTAATGGTAGAGAAATTAAACTAGGAGGCCTCTTAAGTAAAGTCCTTTCTTATAATAACAATACTGAGCCCTAAGTGTTTTGTACATAGTAACTCATTAATCAAAAACAATCCTATGTGATAGATATCATTGTAATTTCCACGTTATGGATGAGGAAACTGAAGCACAGCGAATATTAGGTAACTTGTTGAAGAAAAGATTTGAACCCAAGAGGTCTAGCACAGTGGCTGGAACCTCTGACCACCCATCCCACAGTTCTGCCTCTATTAGAAGGACCACTCTGGAGAGTTTCCTGGGGGAGGAGGAACTCTTGTTACAATAATCAATAATCAATAATCAATCAAATTTCCAAGGAGATTTCTCTGGACCTTTGGAGGGAGATTCAAAGCCCTTCTCCATCCCACTTCTAGGTCTGCTTGCAAAGTCAGGGATAAAGCTACCCTGGATCTTCTGGAACTTTCTGCTCCTTGAGGCAGGAGGGCAGTTGTTTGCCTAGGACATCCCAGCTCAGAGGCTCATTGGCCGCAGAAACGTGGGTGGCATGGAGGTGGGCTGTGCCAGTCAGCTTTCAGACTGGAAGCTTCTAGGTGTGCTTGTCCTCCACCACACCTCTGCAAGGTGAGCCTGGGACTGGGAGGGACAGCCTGCTGAGGACTGAGAGCATGGGACCTTTATGACTGTCCCACTCCTTCTCTGCAAATCATTCTCTAAAAGGCTTCCCAGGGCTTGATTCTGCTGGGTTCTCTGAGCTCCTCTTGCAGGCAGCTGTCTTTCGGTTCACTATTGTATCCCAGTGAATCCAAAATTAGCTTGATTCACAAGAGAAAATGAGCACAAAACTCCTCTATAGCCAGAGAGCAATGTCTACAAAGTCCTATGTGGTAGAAATAAGGCTTTGCCCCAAGGAGCCATCTGGCTGTATGCCCTCCCCCCACCCCACACTTCCATTTGGCACACTTATTGTTATCCTGTGCTGTGACGGAACAGAGGTACTGGCCACGGATGCATTGCAGAGGAGCCAGCTTATACTCCCATGGTGCTAGGAAGGAGGCAGAACAGGTAAGACAAGCACACAAACCATGGAAAAAACTGGAGGAAACTTTCCACACTTCTTAAGCAATGGATGCATTTCCCTGTGGTGTAGATTGAGTAAGTAAGCCAAAGGAGACAGGATGGGGTGGATTCAGATGCCCAGGGAGGCAAGTCTTGGTTTGGGGTTTTCAGGAAGGCAGGGCCACTTGTAGAGATGGCAGCTGGTGGTGACCTGGGGTCTGTGGAGGTGGCAGGCAGAAATAGCAACTCGTGTGTCCATGGTGGCACCATTTTCAATGCACCTTCATAACCACATCTCTTTTGATCCTGACAGTCACTCTATAAGCAGTTTGCCACTGTCGTTTTTCAAATGAAAACACTGAGGCTTAGAGGGGTTTCTGAGTAGCTGTGAACTCAGGACTTCACACTCCCGATTCTTCCTTTGGCCTGCAGTTTGCCTGGCGAAGTCATAGGAGATATCTCCATGGCAGCGCATCCGCCCTTACAAAGCAGGAAACCTTGATTTCTACAGAGGCTGTTTCCTCCCAGCCTTGCGCAAGGCCCGCTGCAGAGACAAAATCATGGTGGCAAAAGTGTGAACGCCAAAGCCACACTGGTGAGAGCCAGTGGCCAGGCAGCTGCAGTCACCCCAGCGAGGGTGGACAGGTGTGTCTCAGTGGCAGGCAGAGACTGGTCACCACAGGGAGGAGGAGGGAGCCTGTGGGCGGCCCAGGGGCTGCCCCTCTATGCCCAGGGGAGTGGGTGGAGGCCTGAGGGGAGCCGGCCTGTGCTGAGATTTTGGTCATCAGAGGTTGGGGTGAGGGGTTGGGGAGGTAAAGCAAGAGTCTCTTATGTTTAAACCAATCAATGAGAGGACAGCTGTTCTTTGTTTCCATGAGCTCAGCAGAAGAGGAAACGGTTTGCCTGTGTGGTGGGGGAGGAAGGGAGGGCGGGGTTGTAGGTTAGTGCTCTGGCTGTGAGGAAGTGGAACTTGTTACCCAAGGACTTCCCTTTTAGAATGTTTGCTTTCCTACCAGGAAGAGTGGCTTGGCTCTCTGCTGAGGCTCTCAGAGGTTCTCCCAGCCTTGGGAACGCTGAGTAAAACCAGTCAGCACAACGTCCCCCTGTGGAGACTGGTATTACCTTGCGTCTATGTGTGGCGACAGTGGGCATCCTTTGGCCTGCGCAGCGCAGGGCCGCTCCCCTCCTTTCCTCCTGTCCTCCCTTCTTCCCTAACCTCTCTCTCTCTCTCTCTCTCTCTCTCTCTCTCTCTCTCTCGGAGGACAGAGTCTGCTCCCTTAAATTCTACTGGGGCCTTTTTCAGGCCTCCATCCCTGGGATTTGCCGGTAGAAGAAAGGGAACCAGCGTTGACTGAGCTCCTACTATGTGCACTTCCTGGGCCTGGCACTGGGATCACAGGATGAATGAATAAGGCATATTTCCTGCCCTGAGGAGGTGTCCATAGGGGAAGTCGGAATTAAGCCACCTCCAGAATTCTGAGGTCAAGGGAACGTCAACAGAACTGTGAACAAAATGCCCAAAGCCATGAAAATCGACAGAGACTTGAAGGGGAGGAATGGGGTAGGAGCTTGTGCCGAGGATGAGAAGGGAGAATTCGCCTGGTGGAAAACTGATAGCTAGGGGCTGTTTTCAAAGTATTTTCACAAACGTTTATTCTCTTGACTCTCACAATAAATGAAGCCAGCCGGAAAGTATTCCCCCTATTTCAGTGATAAGGAAATTGAGGCTCAGAAGGGTGGAGTGGCCCAGGGCAGGGCGAAGCTGGGGTGGAAGCATTGGTCTTGTGCTTCCACACTCATTGCACTTTCTTCCAGGCCAGGCTGAGGTCAGGATGGTAGAGGAGGTGGTGGAGGTGATGAGGTACCAGAGCAACCTCGAAGAAAGGTGAGAAGCAGGGGACCACCAAAGGCAAACCTGGAACACCTGGTGACTCCGGCTAACTCTCCATGTGGTGTCCAAGAGGACTTTTCTGATACTGCTACCACTGCTAATAGTAATAAAAGTTACTATTTAATGTGTTTACTATGTGTTGGGTGCGCAAATATTGTGGAAAGAGTGAACATATGTGCAGAATGCTTAATAAACGTGATCTCTTTTTATCTTCAAAAGAACAATGCAGGCCAGGTGCGGTGGCTCATGCCTATAATTCCAGCACTTTGGGAGGCCAAGGCAGATGGATTGCTTGAGCTCAAGGAGTTGGAGACCAGCCTGGGCAACATGGCAAAACCCCGTCTCTACAAAAAATACCCAAAAAATTAGCCAGGCATGGTGTTACATGCCTGTGGTCCCAGCTACTCCAGAGGTTAAGGTGGGAGAATCATTTGAGCCCAGGAGGTCAAGGCTGCAGTAAGCTGTGATCCTGCCACTGCACTCCAGCTTGGGTGACAGAGTGAGACCCTGCCACAAAAAAAAAAAAAAAAAAAAAAATCAATACGATTAATACTTTTACTTCTATTTTGCAAACAAGGAAATTGAGGCTCAAAGAGGTTGGGAACTTGCCAGAAGACCTACCAGCAAGTGGCACAGCTAAGCTCCCATCTGACCCCAAAGCCCACACCCATAACCACTAAGCAGTACTGTCCAGGCAGACACACAAACACTACCCCATTGTTTTTATTCTTCAGCAACTTTGGTATCATCCAGTCCCAGGACACTGGCTCCTGAGGAAGGAAGGCACCTCCAGCAGGCTTTAAAATTCCCAGGCATGAAAAACCATGTTCACCAGCCACCCTGAGGATAAGCCTCAGAGACAGGGACTGTGGCCAAGCCTCAGAGACAGGGACATTGGCCAAGGCAAACTTGCCACATCCTTGGCCAATGCCCTGCCAAGGAGGGCCACTAGCTGTTTTTCATGCCTCAAACTCCCAGTCTATTGCAGCACCCAGAGCTTGGGGATGGGGTGAGTTTTCCACCCAGACAACTCTCCACCAGGGAGAGACTGGGCCAGGGGAAGCAGAGAGAGGAAGTAGGTCTTAGATAGAGGAGCGAATGTGGGTGGCTAAGCACTGTGGGTGTGAAGGGATGGTTGGGAGGCCCTGGGGACTTTCCCCGGAGGCTGAGATAGCCAATTTACTCCCCAACCCACCACAGGCAGGCACGCACACCCACAATTTCAGGCGAGACGGGGCAGGCCTCTGAGAACAGCACTCCAACAGGATTTATCTGAGTGCACAGCTGGACTCAGAAATCAGAGTGCCCCCCACAATGAAGTGCCCCCGGAAAATGAAGGCTCCATGAATGAGCCCTGAGTTCTCATTGCAGTTTCTCTTCCTTTTCTGTTTTTTTTCTTGGCCTCTGCCTGACAAGAGGCCTCCGGAAACCCTCATTTTTCAGGCTGCTTCTCCATCAGCCCCTAGGCCAGACCTTTTTATTTGACTGGTCTGAGGAAGAGATGGGGAGGCTGCTTGGCTGATGAGAAGCCAGTCCCCTTACAGCAGCACCTCTTCTGAGACTTTCTGGGGGTCTCTGGAGACACAGATGCCAGTTGTTCTTTTTGTTTGCTTGTTTCAGGACAGAAGAGATTGAGTTTCAATAGGAGATGTGATTGTATTTAAACACCCATGGGAAAATCCCTAGGCTCTGCAGTATGTCATATGCGTCTTTGACACCACCAGGCAAAATGCGCAGGCTGTGAAACACATTTGGACGTCCAAAGAGCAGATCCTCCAGAGCACAAATACCTGTGCCCACCCCAGGACAGAAGTGCTCAGGCAGGTGTCACCAGCGCAATCCCTGGCCTCCGACTTCCCCGGCTCCACGCCCCCCATTCACACAGAAGCTCAAAGACAGTCCACGACCTTGGCTGGCCACACTCAGTCCTTGGCTCTGGCCGCCTGGGCAGGGGTTAACCCAGCTAGGTGTGGCCGCTCCCTCCCGCCACCCGCCTCCTCCCTTCTGCGCCGCGTCACTTGTTTTTCTGCCGGGCTTTCCCGCCTCCCGCCGGCCGCTGACGTGGACCGGGGGCGTCACAGCCTCTACCTTGGCCGCGGGGAAGTGCTTCCCTTATATGGGCACAGACTCCGGAGGGGCCGGCAGGGCAGGGGCGCTCGTGGGGAGGGCAACAGCTGCCAGCCATCAAGGGCCAGGCTCTCCTCTCCCAAACAATGCCCAGGCCGGGGCAAAGGTGACCCGCATTTGGAAAAGGGACGCTGGCTTCCCCGTCTCCTCCCGAGAGCCAGAGCCCAGGCGGGCAGCCTTCCCAGACGCTGCTGCTCTGCATCCTCCCTCTGTGGGTTTCTCATGAAATGTGCAGAGCTAGATTGAAATGCAGATGACCAGGTGGCCTTTCATAGATGCACTCTGATAGTCTCTGAATGCTCTGCATCCCAAAGTCAACGGCCAGAACGCTGTGATGCTAGGCCAGGGTTGGGTGGTAGAAACCACGTCCTCGCTTCTGCCGTGGGGCCTTAAACTTGTCTTATAATTCCTCAGGCCCCAGCTTCCTTCTCCATAAAATATAGAGGATACTGGCCTCGAGCCTAGTAAGGACTAGATGAGTGTTCTGCTTGGTGTAAAACAGCTTTGCGAACTGTAAAGTGCTATTCAGACTTACAGATGGTCACTTGGTGCCACAGAGGAGAAACCTGTTCAGGTGCCCCCTCCAGAACCTGCCTGTCCCGGGCCACACCCGTGTGCTCTGAGAATGCCCTTCGACCCTGTTGAAAAGCTTAAGCTGTGTAAATAAAGTCATCCGGAGTCTGCCTCTTGTGTGCATTGTGGCGAGCTGTTTGGGGCCTCTATTAGTAAGCAAGTGGTGAGCGTGCTTGAGATTACCCTTCCAGCAGGGAGGGGAACTGCGGGTGAGCGGTCATTGTGCAAACGCCTCGCACTGTACTGGACACCGTGCAGCACATGACTGTCTTCTGTTGCTGCTAGTAAGAACTCTCTCCCTCCAAATCCAGCTCAGCTCAAAACTCCCAGGCCCAACAAGCTATTTCCTGCTGGCACCTTCACTCCAACTCCTTGGTTAATTGTGAATCGTGTTTGTGCAGTGCGGCTCTGCCCACATTCGCCTGTCTACTGGCAGCTTTGATCTGTGTCCTCGATGTGGACACTTCTCCCTCCTTGGGAACTCGGAGTGTCCTGCGGGCAGGAACCATTTCCCCCCAGTCAGAATGAAGAGCCCACACTCTCTATCTCTGAGGGTGGGGACTAAATCTCCTTCCTTTGATCACTCTAGGACAAAGAGGACAAAAGGTATTCAGATCATGAGGTCAAGTGATTGATTTGTGACCCATATGTAAATGGCAGTGGGCCATAGGGCCAGCCAGACATGGTAAATTTCTGCAGGATTTTCCTCCCCACTCACTGTCTTCAATGAGCCCCATGGAACCCCCTCTCAGGGAGGACTGTGCTAGGTTGCCTAGAAGTAGACTGCACAGTGGGCAGGCAGGTAACCTCCCTTTGGAGATGGTTGTCCTCATTAAACATCAGGCATTGAAGGTGACACCTAATTCCATGCTCCCGCTGGGTAAACTGTCAGCTGTGGCCAACTGCTCTTTAGGCGCTGGGCAAGATTGGTTTCATGTTTTATTTGAAGATCGATGAGTGACCCAACAGTCTTCCTCAAAATATTCCAGATTCCCCTGGAAGTGGGGATGGAGGGTGGGGAAGATATTCCTTCTCATCAATGCCTCTGGCTTTGGGATCTCAAGCCAGTTCCATTTAGGAGTAATCCTGCTGAGCCTGAGCACTCCCTGTTGTGATCTGTGTCAGCCCTGTCTCTTGCTTCTTCATACGAACTCCTTACAAGGTCTGTACGTGCATCACGGGCGTTAGTGAAGATTGGGGTCTCCTGAGGGGGTTAATTTCACAAAAATGTAAACAGCTCAGAAAGGAAACATTGGGCATTTCTGTTTTTAAACTTCCCTCAGCTTCCTCTCTCACACAGGCTCTAGGCCCTCCCAACACCATTTTAAGGTTACTCAACCCCCTTTTTTTTTGCTCCTCTCTCTCAGGAACAAAAATAGAGATTTCTCTTGTTTTCTTCTGCGGAGTATTTCAGCTCTAATCCCCACCCACACCTCTGAACGTGAAGAATTCAACGAGATAGGTCCAAAGCTTCTGAGTGTGTAAGTTCTTAGGCAAAGAGCCATATTTTTTTTTTTGAGATGGAGTTTCACTCTTGTTGCCCAGGCTGGAGTGCAATGGCACGATCTCGGCTCCCTGCAACCTCCGCCTCCTGGGTTCAAGCGATTCTTCTGCTTCAGCCTCCTGAGTAGCTGGGATTACATGCAAGCACCACCACACCCTGCTAATTTTGTAATTTTAGTAGAGACGGGGTTTCTCCATGTTGGTCAGGCTGGTCTTGAACTTCTGACCTCAGAAGATCTACCCGCCTCAGCCTCCCAAAGTGCTGGGATTACAGGTTTGAGCCACCTTGCCCGGCAGAGCCGCTGTTTTTAAGCCTGGCAGGTCAGGTTGGAGGATCATGGTGGTGGTCTTCCTGGACTTATGCAATGTTTTTATATAAAGGATATTGACTTACAATAGAGTCCTCTGAATTCAAATGGTAGGAGACAGAGAGTTGTTATCTTTCTAGGAGCTTACCCATTCCCACTGAAATAATCATTCTGTTACATGTTGGGAGCTCAATTGTCTCAAAGCTCTCTTAGACATACCTTATAACCTTCCTGTCTCCATTCACCTCAAGAGTTTTTGCCATGGGTTCCACCTTGCTTCTACATAACTCTAATGCTGCACGGAGGCAGCTGAAACCACCTGGGGCCACCTGACTGTTTGACCGAGCGAGGCTCAACCCCTGACCTCAGAGAGTTCCTGAGCCAAGAGAGAAGGAAGGAAATCCTGAAATAAGGATAGAAAGAAATGTAGAGATGATATTGGTTGCTACTATCCCAGCCATTATCCTGATTACTTCTGTTGTCATTATGGGCTCTTTTATTAAAGGTAAACCCAATTGAGGACGATACTAAATGCCAGCTGAGAACAACTTCAGATTCCTTGGCTCCAATTATTCCAATATAGGGATTCATATCATAAATTTCTTCTTGAGGAATGTGTGGATGGAGCGGGCTGCTGGGGGTGGGTTTTAACAGGCTAACTTGAATGCTTTCTTATATTTCACAATGAAAACTATATAATGCAGGTA